CTAATAAAAAATATTAGGAAATAAAAAGGTGAAATAACAAAAAAACGAATTCGTAGTGTATCAAAAAATGATCGTGTTCGCAGTCTTGAAAATTAGTCGCATAGAATTTCATTTATTTTGATAACAAAGGGTACATATATTAAATAAGATTTTTAATGTAACATGTAGAGCTTTTCACACTGTATCTTCTCATATACTATCCTTTTAAAATAAACTTACTAGATGATGAACAAAAAAGATACAAACCTCGACCATGCACTATGAAACACTCATTAGCTTTGAAAGTTGGGTAGTTTTTATGTGTTCGATAATCTTCGTTTAATTTTTTTTCCTTAGCTTTCTTCAGGAATAGATTTGATTACTGTTTTGTAGAGAATTTCACGGTGCATCTTTTGGAAAAACAATCAGCTCTATAGGACACAAAGAAAAAAAGTTATAGCCAAAACATTGAGAGGGACATTTATTCTGGGCCACCCGTTACATGAAAATAATATTTCAAACAAATTCATAACATATAAATATTTTCTTGTCTTCACTTTTTACGAAAAAAAAAATATTTGTGTCGATGAACTTTTCTTGGCGAGATTTCAATGATTCGGGTATTTTCCATGTATGTAGAAGTAAAGACAAATGTTTTTATTCCATCAGAAAATCTCAAGACATTTTGAGATGTATCATCTAAAAAGATTTTACAATCACTTACCTTTTAATAGTGATCCAACTAAGCATTATGAGGCTTTTCATTGTTCAGGAAGGTCTACTTTTAAGTGCAAAATATAAAATAAACATTTGCTTACAAATAAGTATAACAATACGATCCATTTTAATTATAAAATAAAGTGTAGGACATTCAATAATGACTTCTATACTAACTAAAATGATAAAAACTTCCCAATGATCATTATAATGATATAAGAAATGAAGATATTCGATTCGAAATCAAAGTGAATTTCTTTATAATAAAAAAAGAAAGAGTCTCAGATAAAATGATTTTCTTCGAGAATTTTCATTGAATCTTTGAGTTTTTCGTCGATTGTCTATAGTTTAAACATTATTTCGATGTGAACAACAATAAAGTACATTCATTGATATGGCTCAAAAATTCAATTTTGCATCTTAATATTCGTAGACTGATTCATTAGGATCCAGTTAGACAAGAAAATGAAAAATAACGCGTTAAAATTTTTAACAAAAATAAAATCGTAGAAATGTGCGGATTTTACGAGTAAAAACGCATTATTTTTCGTTGTTTGTCTGACTGGGTATCTGTAATCCGCAATCAAATACTTGCGCGTTTCCTAATACGCATATAAGAACATTGCCCTTGTTGTCTATTTAACCACAGATATTTTAGATATGTCTATGAAATTGTCATTGATCCTATTGAAGATTGTCTGCTTCCTTTATTTCTAATTTAAATTCAAATTATTTTCAATTTAACAAGTCAGCATGAGTTTCTAATTTGAAAATAAGTGTATTTGTATACAAATTTTTTATTCTTTCGTAATTAGGGACAAAAAAGTGAGTATATAAATAATAAAATTCGTCCAAGTTGACTAATAAGTTGAAATGTACCAAACAGAGTATGATTTATGTAAAGGAAAGTATTTCTTCGATTAGAATTACGAGGAAACATTTCAAGTTTGCAATCAGTTTTTTTGATCTACACTAGAGGATGTGTGGATATGGGTGAAATGAATGCCCACATTCTACAGTCACGCACCCACACCCAAGATAATATCGTTCTGCTTATTGAATGTTGGATTGCGAATAATGGTGGTGTGAGTTCTAATGGAGAGATTTTTATTATTCATACGACTACTGATTCAAATCGTAGAGGTTTAATTATTCATGATAATAGTTGTGTCAATTGCTCATATATGGGTAACATCAAGCACGATCGATCACAAAATTTGTCGATTAAACTACGCCAGCAACTTCATGTATTAGTGGGGCACAATTTTTCATGGAAGAATATACAAATATCTTGAACAGTTCGACCGGTATAACGAACTGACAGTGCATAGAGGAACATTTATTATTAATAGTGCTGAAGTGCAAAAGAATAAATGGTGTGGTATTTGGATATCAAATAATTTCTTGGCATATTTTTTACCAATGTACAAAGCCTTAATGTAACTACAGCTTCATTTATGGTGCCAAATAATGTTTGTAATTCAAATCTATTACTGTATGATATCTTTAGTGCTAAAGAATCTTGGTTGTTAAGCTAACTATATTATCTTTTTATGATTATTAAGATATCGAAAACTAAATTGTGTTTTCTTCATGCTTCTTTTTACTTTTGATGATGATATATATATAACTTCACACTCTTTGTTGAACTGTTTTAAAAAATTGCTACTCAGAAGAAGCAGTTTGTTCATTGATTCATAAAAGATATTGACTTCTCCTTACTGAAATATTGTAGTGAATCTACTGCTTCCACCACACACTTCTTTTCTCGGGTGAATGAAGAGAGTCTACCAATCGATTCAATTTAAAAAAAATTTAGCTGATTTCAAATGTCAATGTGTTCTTGTTAACGATTGTGGCATATGGGAGTAAATTTAATATTTTTGCTATACCATATTTCATTGGTTAACATCAGTATCAATAGACTCTTATTCTGTATAAATGTTTGAGCAGCTGACTGTAGATTTATTTATGACTTCAAAATGACGCAATTTAATGCAAACAATTTTAATAGTAGAGAATTAGTTGTTTATGCTTCGTTTTATTGTCTGACTGAAATATCATTTTATTTTAAAGAAATATTTTTGTTAATTTTAGAAAAAATAGCAAATTATAAAAATCAAAGCGGACGACATTAATAGTAAAGAAACCATTTGTTTATTTCCATTGGCAATTCGTCGTCCATTATTATCTGTTAAGCTATACTTGCTTAATATATTTTTTATTTGTGAATATGTTTCCTCGTTATTGCATAAATCGCGATTACATCTAATTTGAAATGATGTATAAGAGTCACCATCATAAACATAAACACTAGGTTCACGAGTTGGATAGCAACCACGTGATCTGAACTTATTTTCTAGTTGATTATATTCTAAACTGCATGTATTATCAGATGAACATATGATAACATCATTTCTCATATTATAACATTGGACTGAACCGTTTCCAAAAGGATTCTTGATAATTGGAGCAATTTCATCATATATGATTCGTGCATTATAGTTGCGATTAATCATTTCATTAATTCTATTCTTTGCATATGAGAGAACACAATCGGTACCTTTTGAGCATTCATACTTAATGGTATAACTTAGGTAGGGTCCAGATGATATAGAAATATGGTCTCCCGTTACCGTAAGAACGTTAAATTCTACAGTATACGAAGATTGGTGATAACTTAATCGGATGTCAGTTGCACAAAAATCTGCGGATCTTCGTTGTAGACACCTTCCATCAGGAATATTAAACGTTTGACCGAAATCATAAGGACCAAGAGAACAGCCGGTTCGACATTGAAGAGCAAAACCAATGTCTGCCGTTATCAATAGAATGAGTAGTAATGCGAACATATTATGTGTGTCTAGAAATTTGAAAAAAAAATGTTTTTTATATGCTTAATCAAAATGCACATACGAAGGTCTGACGGTAAATATTGTTTTACTAGGCAAACTAATGACAGAGAAACAAAATCTAATTTTACTATGAAATGAATCATATTACTATGATGGATAGTTGAGAAAATATAAGCTCGAGCACGTTATTCATTCTGTTTGTCTTTAAATAAGTCACTAACTATTGGAAGAATGATTAAATGAACAGTTAAAATATCAAAATATTTAAGCAAGTGTGAATATTATTTGCTAAATTAGAACATATATTTCTATTGCAAAAACTTTACTAGCGCATCGGTCAAGTTGCATTTCGACTTTGCCGCTAGAGTGCGCTTAAAGTGTTCTTTTCATGATTTAATATATTGACCTTTTATGTAAAATTTATTTTTCCAATTTTAATCGGAATGAAATGCGATACTTTTATTTATACTAGAATGTCTAAAAGATATTTAATTCTCAACAATCACTCTCGATTTGAATAATAATAACTATTAATCAATGACCTTAATATTTATTGAATGCGCATATGCGGTGCCCTATTTTTTTTTCTTCAGAGCAAAACAAAAAGGTATTAGGTTTAAAGATAAACTGCAGCCAGTTACCTTCACAGAACTGGTTTTTTTTTCTTTTATTTTTAAGCGATATCAGTGCAAAAGTATTATATCACACATTCAAATCTCACAAAATTGCGCATAAAAAAATGCAAATTATCATGCGTTGGAGGGAGACACTGAGTGTAAATTGTTAGCTTTTTTCTTATTGCGTATATTGCCCATGTGAAAATTTAAGCAAGAAAATGCGCTTAAATTAGCTCATATTTTTGAAAAGCACTTGCAATTGCCCATTTAAGTGCTTATAAGCGTAGAATTTTAACAAAGTAATATTCATTGTTGACCGACTCTATTACTATAATTTAGTGTCTTTATATAAAGGAACTCTAAAATAATATGATATCTAAAAGAATGCGATTAGTTCAAGATAATTATTTTACATAATAGCTTTACACCCGTATCCTTCTGCACAAGTAATTCTAAAAAAAGACATTTTTGAATTTCTAATCATAACTAAAGAATTATGGCTCGAAATTCAAGAGTTTTTTTTTTTTTCTCGAGAATTATCTATTATGAAGGATGCAGATGTAAAACTATTATCTAGAATAAATATTGGACACTTATCGAAATCTTTTCAATATCATATTATTTTACAAGCTCTCATATATAAACACTAAATTATGATCATAGAATTGGTCAACAATGAATATTAATTCGTTAGTGGTACACGATCTATTTACAACTCAATGCCTAACCGTTACATGCTTGTTCTCAAGTTTAAACGCAATTGATTCACTAAAAATATGTCACGTTACTGTTATAATATTCTTGACTATTAAGACTTGTTCTCAACGTTTTCTATACAAATTAACATAATCTGGCGCTATACTTAGGGCATACCAAAAGTTCTGGCAGTGACAGTTTAATATCGTTTAGTAGGCTTAAATAATTTTTCTTCTATATAGGATGATAGAGAAAGAAAAGCTCTATCTTTCTATTCTATTTGATCGTACTTCAACTAATATTAAAATATTAAATTATCTATAAAACACATTTCGCCTGGCTATTTGCTGGTTGTACAGGCTTGTAAAAAATCTTTTACCATGGAGGTACAGCTTCAACGACAAATGATATCAACATTTAATTTTATACCAAATGAAAGCCCGTCGAAAACGGGATTTAACAGTATAACTCGTCATTATTCCGATGAGAATGAGCTATAGAATTATAGCAAGTTTCAAGTGGTTGAACACTCACGTCGGTGGGTAGTCAATCACAAAAACATAAATTTCTCAGAATTTTTTTTGTCTATCAGGCTTTGTAGCGCTCTCTTCGCTGATCATTTTGCTAAAAAGGTTTTTAAATTTTATCAATAAATAACCATACTAAGGTCAAAATACTCAAAAATATCTTAGCTATATCAACCCGAGGATTTGAAATTTCCAGTATTTTGACCCTAACACCGTTATTTATTGATCAAGTTCAACAGATTTTTTTACTAAAATGATCAGCAAAGAGAGTTGTACCAAGTTCGACAGATAAAAAAGATTTTCCAGCGCCCCATGGAAAAAGATTTTTTGCAATCCTGTACAACCAGCACATAACCAGGC